AAGAAATCAAGGCCCTAGAAAAAAACTAAACATGGGAGATTGCAGAACTACCCAAAGGGAAAAATCCAGTTGGGTGCAAATGAATTTTTACTATCCAGCACAATGCAACTAGAAGTATTAACAAAATCAAAGCTCGCCTTATCGTAAAAGGATTTACTCAAGTCTTATAGTGTTGACTATAAGGAGACATTTGCTCCGGTTGCTAAACTTAATTCAATTCGGGTGTTATTATCATTGGCAACAAATCTAGATTGGCCACTCACCAACTAGATGTCAAAATGCATTTCTTAATAGCGACTTAAAAGAAGAAGTTTACATGGAAATCCCTCGAAGATTCAAAAACCAAGACAATTCAAGCAAGGTATGTAAACTTGAAAAGTCTTTATATGGTCTCAAACAATCCCCATGTGCATGGTTTGATAGACTAACAAAAGTGATAAAGAAGTATAGTTTTTCACAATGCTAGACTGATCACACCATGTTTGTCAAACATTCACCTAAAGGAAAAATAGCCATTCTTATTGTGTATGTGGATGACATTATTCTTCCTCAAGACTATGTGGAAGAAATTGGCAACCCAAAGAACCTCCTAGCCAAAGAATTTGAAATCAAAGATTTGGGACACCTCAAATATTTTCTTGGCATTGAGATAGCTTGCTCAAGGAATGGCATCTTTGTTTCACAACGTAAGCGTGTCCTAGACTTACTAAAGAAATTGGAATGCTTGGATGCAAACCTGTTGACACCCCTATGGACACAATGAATAAGGTAGGAATGGAAGAAAGAAGTCCACCAACAAATAAGGGCAGATATCAAAGACTTGTACAAAAACTCATCTACCTCACTCATACAAGACCAGATAATAGTCTTTTGGTTGGCCTGGTAAGCAGATTTATGAACAACCCAACTAAGGAACAATTGAGAGCTATGTATCGAATCTTACAATACCTAAAGAAAAGTCCTGGCAAAGGGTTATTTTTTAAGAAGACATCATGCCAAAATGTTGAAATTTACACTGATGCTAATTGGACTAGATCCGTTACTAATCGAAGATCAACTACTAATTATTGTACCTATGTGTGGGGAAATTTGGTTACTTGGTGAAGCAAGAAACAATCTGTGGTGGCTAGAAGTAGCGCGGAAGCAGAATTTAGAGCTATATCTCATGGCATATGTGAGGGAATTTGGCTGAAAAGGTTGCTAGGGGAGTTAAAGTTCTCTGCAAGAAGAATTCACGAAGATATTTTGTGACAACAAAGCCGCCATAAGTATAGCAAAAAATCCTATTCATCATGATAGGACTAAACATGTGGAGATTGATCATCACTTCATCAAATAAAAGATAGAAGAAGGAATTGTTAGATTAGTTTATACTCCCACATGCCTCCAAACTGCAAACATACTCACTAAAGCTCTCTCTCGAAACAATTTCGAGAATCTGAAGTCCAAGCAAGGCATGATTGGCATCTACCACCCAGTTTGAGGGAGAGTGTGGAAATCTAATATTCATTATTACTTGATTAATTGCTTTGTCTATTTTAGTTAAGTCTCTTATTTTTTGAATAAGGAGTGATTTAGGTAATTACACCAAATCCATTAGACATTTTCCCATTATATGTAGAGAGTAAATTACTCCTTTGATTAGCTGTTTTTAATGCATAAAAATCTTGGGTTTTAAGGCTGAGAGCCTATCTATTTCCATGCAATTCTAGCATTGTAATAAGAAAAAAATATAGAAGAATAAAATAGTTTTATTCTAAAGATTTCTTCAATTAGTATAGCAAAGGCCATGAATAGACAGAAAAGTCCCATGATACAAGCTGCTTCTCTGATGAAAGGTGAACACCTCCTAGTAAGGCTAATGTGATTATCCTAATTATTTAGTTTTAAAAAAAAGAGGTTATCATATAAATGATGACAAATCATTAATCCATCTAAATAATCACTAGTCATTCTAATTATGCATACTCAAATAGACAGACAAGCCAAATGCAGCAGACTTTAGATATAAGAAAACTTGAAAGAAGTAGAAACCATTGATATAATCCAGAGGCCTAAAAAGGCATAACTAGTGATACAAGGTGCTCCATTGGAGAGAGTGAACACCACTACTAGGCAAACATGAATATCTTGACCACCAAATTGGATATATCCAGCATAATTATGAAATTAAATGGGAAAAAAAGAAAGAGATTATCTAATAAGATGATTTAGAATCACCGGTCCATCCAAAATAATCACCTAGACATTCTAGTTTTAATTTTATAGATAGATAAGTACACATAAGAACAAGAGCATATGCACACACACATATATAGAGAAAGAGAGAAGAATAACAACCATCATGTGTGTCTTTCCTGACGAAGTTTATCCATAAGCAACTGTGGAAACATTGTATCCATCCAAAGCTGATTGGACAAATGGTTGAGCATCACTGAACAGCTCAGCTGCAGAGAAAGTGCAGGACATTATATACTTGTCTTAACCAACACATATAAACACTACCAAAGCAATGAAAAAGTAATTTACATATTTTGCCAGTCACAAATTCTGGTCAGTTCCTTCTTGCTTAAATTAATAAAAAAAATATGATCCTGACCTTGTCCAACATGAGGCCCATAAACTCTGTCAAATTCAAAATCTTTTTTGGGGTTAATGATCATACCATCACCAGTATTTATGCTGATAGTACAATCATCAGGAAATTCAACAATGGAAAGACCTTCATCTTCATATAATGTTCTTGCTCAACAAAATACCTTTATGTTCCTGAAAAAAAGAATCTAATTTCTCAAAGAAAAGTACTATCACCACAACTTTTTAAGTTCAGCATACAGAAACATGAAAAAACACATAGAGATAGTAGATGATAGTGAAGGAATGAGAGATAATTCAGAAAGCACATAGAGCACAATCCAAACATAGTGTAAGTCATTAAACAACCTCTTCTTCTTGTTGATCAATGGAGATATTCTAGCCTCACTTTCAAGGGCAACTTGATCAGCCATTTATATTCAGAAACAGTTTAAAACCATCAACAGAACCGAGCAAGATCAGAACCTTGAGAGGAAGATGGGGAAAAAGTGTAACCATTTGAAGTATACAGATATTTTATGAATTTGCAGTAATCTACATTTCCAAGAAATAAATTGTTGCACAGAATACAAATTCCTGGGTTAACTCAAAAATATTAAGAAGAAACCAAACAGAACAGTCCTACATCATTCAACATCAAATGCATCAAATTTTGGATAAACAGCAGATACTCTAATTATGCTTTGATTGATTACCATATCCATATTACCAACCATTTATAGGGTTACCACTTTTTAACTCCCCTTGTGGTTATATTTCCATGCTTTAGGAAGAAACTTCCAATAAAGGGTATTAAACCAAGGGTGAAACAACCCGCATTACCCTGAAGGAAATAAAGAAAAGGCTTTTTTTTTCTTTTTCCGTTTTTAACCAAACAATTAAATTTTCTTTTGCCCTCCTTTTTTTTTCTTACTACTTTTAAAAGCATTTTTTTTATCCTTCTTTGTTCTTTTTGGACAAGGGATCAATATAATGTGCTTTTAACATTTTTCTTTAAAATTATTCTTAAAATTCCTTGCACAAGCTCAAAATCATAGCCCACAGGAAAGGATAGCAAAGGGCTACTTTTAAAAATTACAAGGTGATTATGTGTAGAGTGTAAATAAACCAAACTGCAGTGGAGTATCTTACCATTAAACACGCAAACCAAGCACTAAAATGGCTGAAGCAAAAGGAATTCATTAATGTCACCCAAACAAACTTGCGCTGAACCATAATATCTTACCTGGCTTACAAGTTTTCTCTGCAAGAACACCTAGGTAACGTGTAACTCGATCAAGTTTAGCATTTGAATATTCCTGCAGATCACTTGCTTCTTGTCTCAACTCCAAGTAGTCTTCTTTTGCAAGCTGCCAAATTAATGCAAAACAATAGTATCTAACATAAGACACTGCTATGAAACAACCTAGAAAGCATATTGAAGCAACACATGTAATAGCACCCATCAGACCCAAAAGAATTTTCACTCTAGCCTCAAAAAACTTCTGACATCAAAGACACTGTAAATTACCAATCATAATTGTAGACTTCAGAAAAGACCAGAGAAATTTCTTTCCAAAAAAAAATCTTGCATTAAACTTGAATGAAAACGACAAGAGTCAAAAGCTATTACTTGCTCTTAATTTTGTGACCAACTTCAACCTTAGCAATCACCTAATTCACATGCTATCTATTCAGACTATGGAGATACAACAAAACTTGGGCAATAACATTGAAACTAATTTATTAATATAGTCAAACAAAGTATCGCATCAGAAAACCCGACATAGATCCCTTAATGGCTTTCCAGGAAAAGCAAGTCAGACCTTGGAAGAGATATTAACTTGAGAATAATTGACTTTTGAATTATCAAACAGCTACTCTAGTTCATAACCTCAAAATTACTGTTTGGCCATGACTAATGTTTTTGTCTACATCTATCTAAAGTTCATTGTCAGTATTACAAGTTTTTTCGGAACTATTATAAAAGGGGGAAACATTTCTTTAGCAACAAAGTCTACTCAGATATTGTAAAAGCAGGCCTACCAAACACGAACAATGCAGAATCTTACAACAGTTCAAAGCAACTTAATTTGGATGAGTAAGCAGGATCCTGTAGCTTGGGTAACAAGAGTTCAAACAGCATTAAAAATTCTCAACCGAGTTTCCTACCAGAACACTTATTCACTTTTCCAGGCCACTTTTTAAAACTCTAACACTACAAACTGATGACTAAGCTCCGAGATTCATCAGAATTCTATTTCAATTCGCCATTAAAATTTTATAATGTGTTTTGAACTTCACATTTAAGTTTCAATCAATTTCCAAACAAACCTAATCTTCTTCCAGAAAATGACATAAAAGAAAGCATGTCCTACTTTTATTTATTTGAAAGAAAAAAAAAAAAAAAAACAAATTACTTAAAAGATTGCATGTTAATTCATGAAAAACGGAGCTCAGTTAAAATCTTATTGTTATTAACTAAAGCGACTTCTTCAACTCCATCGAAACACATTGCAGTTAATTAACTCAAAACCGCCACTAATTACTCGAAAACTTCACAATCCGAAACCGATTTTCCTCCTTATCTTAACTTTATCCTTCAAACGCTGCACCTCAGAAGCCAAAGCCTGCTCAGAAAACTCCAAACAATACCGCGACTCCGAAGACACAGCCGAGATCGAGTAACGTCGCATAAACGGCGCAGCACTGGCCCTATGCTGCTCCTCCTGTGACGACGGCGACGACCGCCGAGGTTTGAAGCCACTCACCTCCCAGTTCCACCGGTTATTGTTGTTACTCTTCTGCTCCCCCATCACCCACAAAAATTTTAAAAATGAAATAAAAAAAAACTATCTCAAAAAGTCCAAATCTAAAAGCTTGAGTTTTTCAAAATCTAATAGCAGTCGTAATAATTTCGTGATGAGCCATGTTTGGCTCATTTTTAATAAACTTTGTTACTTCATTTTCCCTCTTTTGTGATTGTAAACGAGGGGCTGGTCTGGCCCAAAAAAAAAAAGAGGGAATGGGGAAACGGGTGAGAGTGAAACGAGGTCGTTTTGGGATTTAATGAGGGGAAAATGTGCGTTTGGAAAGGAATGCCACACGCTAAATATTTTTTCTTTATTTGAGATAGTGGAACTAAACAGTTTTGTTGCACATAATTAGTGTGATATTTTCATGCCATGTAGTGTAGTGTGACCATCAAAATGTCAATAAATGCGAAAGGCAAACCTATTTAATGAAGCTCGAAATTTTATGATGTGGGTTGAAAGTACAATCGATAATATTTTAGATGTACGGCTGTAAAGTTTATGGGTTGAATTTGGTCGAAGAAGACGAAGGAAACGCACTTGTGCTTCAATTTATCATGTGCTTGATTCAATATGCGTTTGAAGCCCAAAACACCAGACCAGCACTCGACACCAGCTCACGTCGTCCTTCTGGCCCATGAAAGCAATTGGAGAAGTTATAGCCCCTGGCCGGATCCCATTTAAGTGGACCTGTTCCAGTCTTTTGCTAATTTGCTGGGTGACTTGGAGCCTGGAGGCCTAGCTAGAATCAAGCTTTGATTAGTGAGAGGGGGGCCAGTGGGCTGTCCTACTGTCTCGCGTAGTTAGTATTTACAGCAAGCATTTTCTCTTGAGATTTACTTGCTTTATCTTTTTTTCTTTTTTTACTTCTGCCTCTTTGGGGCCAAGATGGGGGTCGATTTGAAGGGTGGTGCTAGTTGCAGGACATGGTTACCATGTCCGGTAAGAATTGCATTGGTCAGCATCACTTAATATAAAGAAAAATTGAAGGAACAGACAAAAGTATCTGCAAATTGTACCTCACATCAGTTCTCGATCAATCATCCAACCAAGTTATACTACTTTTTTCTCTCCATTTTTTTTTTCACGTCTAGTTACTTTTACTCTGTTTCCTACATTTCAAAAATCATCCAATCATTCAAAAAGGTGATTTCTCTTAAAATTTCCACCAAAATAACAATGATAAAAATGTTAGTGGTAATTATAATTGATAATAGTTTTTATTTTAAATATATTTTAAATTTAAAAATAAATAATTTCAATCCATGCTAGCCTGAAATTTTCACTTTTAAAGTTTTTAAATCAAGCTTTTGTGAGTGTTTTTCTTTGTTTAAGAAAAAAATTATATAAATTCTTTTATGTAAGGAAGGCTTGAGATTGTATGACAAAAAGATATAAGAATCTAAAGGAGAGAAGTAAAAAAATACAAAAATTTTTATAGTTATGTATTTATGTTTTTTTTTTTTACAGTTTAAAGATTTTAATTAGTTCAATTTTAAAAAATGACATAAGCAATATGTCAATTAATTATGAAACTATTAACCCAAATTATTAGTATATATATTTTAAAGTTTTATATTTTAAAGTTTTCTTTTTGGTTTGTGAAAATTAATAAATAAATTAAATTTGATAATACATAAAATGAAAAAAAAAAAAAAAAGGAGTGCTAGTATTTTCACAGTTTTAAAATAAACCCTATAATTTTATGATATGTGAGTTGTGCCTCCATCTCTCCACAAACTTTCAATTTCAAATCCTTTCCTTGTGGAATCCCATTTGCAGCAATTAAAGGCGAAAAGATGGTACAATGAGAACGAAAAGCTCCCTGCTTCGCTAAAAAGGTGTTTCCTTTTTTCCCTGACCAAAGCAGTAAGTCTTCTCTTTTCACGCTTTTATCTTACACAACCCAAAACCCAAAGCCACATTCTTCTCTTCTTTCTCAACCTTCATTGGTGTTTCCTTTTTTCCCTGACCGAAGCAGTGAGTCTTCTCTTTTCACGCTTTTATCTCACACAACCCAAAACGCAAAGCCACATTCTTCTCTTCTTTCTCAACCTTCATTGGTGGCTTTTTCACAAGCTCGGAAACAAAAATACCCCACTGGCACCGAACCCAACACCCCAAAACTCACTCACCAAAACTGGTAAGTAAACATGAAATAAATATCCCTTCAAGCCAATCATTTTTTTCTTCCCCTTCTTTCACCTTCCTTTTATCATCTTCATAAACTTAGTTTGGCTTTTTGATTTTTTTTGTTGGTTTCTTTGTTTTGGATATCAAGTTGGGTTTTTCATTTCATTTATTCTCTTTTTTTTAGGGTTTTGTTTCTTAACGCTTCACACTAAATTTGGCAAAATGCCGCCATTTTTAACCCAGACTTGTCCCCTTCTTACCCTTCCTTTTTTCTCTTTTTAAAGTTTTAACTGACTCTATTTATAGAAACTTTTCTTTGTTTTTTTTGTTGTTGGTGTTTTAAGTTTTACTAGATTAAATGTGGGTTATTCCCTAAATAGAAGTTGATCGGAGAAGTACTCTTAAAAGGAAGACAACTTTTCTTTTTTGGTGATTTTACTTAGGAAAAGACGAGGTAGAGAAAAGAAGAACACTGAACAAGAAGTAAAAGAATGGCAAGAGAGAAGATTCAGATCAAGAAAATTGATAACGCTACAGCTAGACAGGTGACTTTTTCCAAAAGGAGAAGAGGGTTGTTTAAGAAAGCTGAGGAGCTCTCCATTCTTTGTGATGCGGATGTTGCTCTTATTATTTTTACATCTACCGGCAAGCTCTTTGAGTATGCTAGCTCAAGGTAACTTCTTTCTCTTTATTTCTATCTTTTTAAACACTTCTTTTTTGTACTTTTTTATGTATGAAAATCATCTTATAGTTGTAAAATTATAGTCTTTTGAGTGGGAAAAGGGACAAAGTTTTGAAAAAATGAGGAGCTCTTTTTTTTTTTTTTCTATTTGCTTTGCCAAGATCTTTGACAAGAGGAAGTTTGTTCGTACTTCTATATTTTTTGGGTTTTTTATTTAAATAAAAACATGGAATTGTGACGGAAGAATGAAAAGGGTTTTTAAATATTGGGATATGGAAGACAAGTGTATAATGTATATATAGGTCAGATATTTTGTTGTTTGTGTTGGAATTCTAAATGGAAATCTCAGAAATCAATGCGAAATTGGTTTATAGTATATTTTTACCAGTTTATGTGGATCTATATATATATATATATATATATATATATGTTACTGTACTGGAAGAAGATAAGCTGAATTTACGGTGGTGTTGGTGTAGAGACTGTAATGATGTCAGGTCGAGACTTTTTTTGTTTATCCATCATCTATGTGGTTTACTCCTTGGTGTTATTTGTTTTTTTAGGCCCTTTTTTACCCTTTGACGTTATTTGGTTTGTTTTGTCAGAACTGTATAGCGTTCTTCTTCTTCCATAAAATAACACTTTGGTTTGTTTGAAGTCTTTTCCTTACATTTTCTCATTTCTGAAACTGTTGGATTCCTTTCTCTGGTTCTCACGTGAACAACGTTGCTCTCTCAAGGACTGAAACATGCAATATTTTCACCAGAAATTTTAGTTGGAACCACCTATACTGTACTTTGACAATAATACTCTATATGTTTTGAGAGAAAAGTCGATCATCTAAGTTAACCATATATATATATATATATATATATATATATGTGTGTGTGTGTGTGTGTGTGTGTATGGTGGTAATGATGTCTGCTAATAGGCAATAGCTCTTAGAGGGACCAGCAATCAGAAAAAGTGGGAAGTTCTATTTGGGATGCTATGGCTTTGTGATTGAAATCCCTTAGTACTGTGGAATATTGTAAACCAATCTTGAGCAGCTTTTTGATATATAATTTACAGAATTTAGCTTCGCTTTTTTCGGTTCTTTACACGTTTCCTGCAGCCCTCTCTCTCTTTATGGTCCAAGGAGATCCATGACCGTGACTGAACTGGTTTTGGTGGACCATTATTTTGTTTGGGAATCGTCGGTTCTCAGTTAGTGGATGATTCGACGTCAGCCTTTTAGTGCCAGTATTGCTTTTGGCTTATCCTTAAATCACTTTCTTTTGGCGGATGGTCAGAAAGCTAGAAGGGTTTGGTAAAAAAATATACTCAATTTTGGCTGCATTGCTTAAGATTTTGTCAGGAAATGTTCAAATACGGTGGAAGGAAGAATAAACTGACTTCCATTGGTGAAAAATAATTGAAAGATGACAACTGGCCTTCATTAAACGTTTGGGCCTTTATAAGTTTAAAGAAAAAATTTAGCTAAAGTTTCATTGTTTGTCTCAAAATTTGATGTATATATTGAACCAAAAGAAAAGTTGGGCCTAATCGTGAAATGAAGAAAATGATCATTGAAGAAATATTGAGATGAACTCCCACCATTAATGAACAAATGAACCGTATATCATTGACCTGATATTTTAAATTGTCGATTTGACCAATAAGTAGGATCTTATTAATCTCATCATCCAGTTGAAGGCTTGGTTCTGTGGAAAATAACTTAAACAAGCTAACGGTTGATTTACAAAGCTATGCTGGATATGAGCCTATGTTCACTGAGATGGACATTGTTGCCTACTGCATTCATATTTTTTGTACTGCCGGGAGAACTTAATTATAATTTGTTTCTATGTTAACGTCCAATTGTGGTTTAGAGTTAAGATGATTTTTTGTTTATTTTTGTGCCGGGCTCTCGGATATGTTGCATTTTATTTGTGTCTATTTATTTAACTTGGGTGGTTATGCTACTTTTCCATCTCCAATAAAGATAAAAATCTTCATTCATTTTCATTTTACGTTCATGTTCTACTCGTGATATAGAAAGCTATAGGCAATTGATTTGGTCGTTGATTTGTTAAATTTTCTTGCCAAGGGCCAGCTTTATGTTTCCTAGTGGTAGAGCAAGTGTAGATTTTCTAAATTGAATCTTAATGTATGCTGTTCTATTTTTCTTCCTCCTTTTCTTTCTCGCAGTCCCTCCCTCCCTCAAGAAGTAACAGTATCATTGTTTAAAATTGCATGTTCTTGTCTAGAACTGTGAAAGTTTTCGGGATGTAACTATGATGGTTTCATTTTTTTTTTGAAGATGCTAATTAGGATTGTTGGCATTGTTATGGATTAGCCATATCGTTGCCATTTTCGAGTATATTTTGTTTGTAGAAACTAGTTGAATATTTGATGATTTACTGTTTTGTATTAAACTTGCAAAGCATCTTGTACCCTTATCACTTTTATCGGATTTAACTGTTAACATATAGACAATGCATGTAAAGATGCATACTAGACATCGTAGATTAAATAATGTTAATTTAGTAATAGAAATAGGTAATATTTCCAGTAGAAGATGCATTAGGCGATGAATTCATCGTATGGCTTGTATTACATCTGATTGCATAATGTGGCTATGTTGTTGAAACCTTGTTTAGTTATCTACAAAGTTGATTAATTGAGGTAATTGTTTTCGTTGATAATGACTTCTTTTATCTTCTATTTATATTTGAATGATTTTGCCATATGTTTTTTTACATTGGGTTAACTTTGCATGCATTTTCTGTGTAAAATACTGATTGAGTTCTTATGTTTTGTTTTGGCTTGTCCTGTTAAACGAAGAATAGCCATCATTGGATGTTGTTACATGTTGTAGCTTTAACTGGCTTGGGTTTATCTTGGTGAGCAAAAACCAAATGTTGCTGCCAACCTAATTCTCTTATATCGAAGCATGAAATAGAACACTGAAACAAACTATGTATTATTGTTATCAGAAATTTTCAGTATACTATATTTTTCCAAACGATCTGATATGAAAGCATTCTATAGGTTGATATCAGAAACCTGATAGTTTTTTCTTTAACTTGAAGCATGAAGGAGATACTAGAAAGGCACAATTTGCGCTCAAAGAATCTTGAGAAGCTGGAACAACAACCTCTTGAGTTGCAGGTTAGTTGTTTTGTTTCCTCTCTTCCCATCTTGTTCTTACACGATCAGTAGTTAATCAATAATTGGCAGGAAAGTTACTTGGGGGATCTACGACTTGTAGAGTTGTAGTTGTAAGTTTAACTGATAAGCCTCTTCTTTCACATGAAAGAATCACATAACATACCGGATAAGGAGTTTTGGAATTGATTTTGGTTTCTGACTTCAGAAAAGTACAACATATATATATATATAGTTTAATAATCTTGGCTTGTCATAAACATTGAGCGGGGTATTTTGTTCCATTAGGATCAAATATGTGCATTGATTTTGTTGTAAATTTATAACCAAACTATTTCAAGGAAATCCTGAAAGAAATTGCATGTTTTGGTTTTTCCTACTCAAGGAGCAGCTATTTACATGTAGGGCCTATTGTTTGAATAAAATCCTATTATTTTCTCCATTAAATTATCTACAAAGTCCCATTACTTTTTTTTACGAGTGATTAGAGACTTTGTCCTTCCTTTTCCTAATCAATATGTTTAAGCATATTGCCGTAGCTTGTAGAGAACAGCAACCTCTCCATGCTGACTATGGAAGTAGCAGAGAAAAGTCATCAACTAAGGTATACATTTATTTTGCTTCTTATTAGTTTGTTCAAATTATGTATATGGATATACTGTGATTTTGCCCAAAACAGGCAAATGAGGGGTGAGGAACTCCAAGGATTAAATTTTGAAGAACTAGAACAGCTGGAAAAGTCTCTGGAAGCTGGGCTGAGCCGCGTGATAGAGAAAAAGGTTTATGCGTTTTTAGTTCTGCAACTTTTGTCATGTAGAAGGTTTTAGGCAATTCATTTGTGATTTCTACGGATCTTAAATTATTGTTTCCTTAATGTATTTCAGGGTCAAAGGATTAAGAATGAAATCGATGACCTTCAAAGAAAGGTCAGTACATTGTAATATACATCCTATATATACATATAGCATGGCTTAGTAGCTGTCAGCATGAAATTAGAATACCGTAAACATATTGGCCTAATCAATTATATAATAATGCTTGGGAAAAAGTTAAGTTTGCAGGAGGACAAATTTATATTTACTTGTTCGTATATTCATGTGTTCTTGTATAAATACTTTCCTTTACAAGCAGAGATGTATAGGAAGATGAACTAGATTCTGACAAATAGACAGTTTGCTGATCTACACATTGAAAGATCCAAGTTTGCCAATTTTAGGTGCATGGAGACAGTTTACACCTATAATGGAACTTGCAATATCCAATAAAAATCCTTTTATTGACTACGGAGTAAAATACCCTGAACATTGGCGAACATGTTATTCTCATGAAGTTTTAGAAGTATGAGATAGATGATGTGTCACTTAAATGCCTTTTAGCTATGTTTCAGCACTTTCTGTCTCTAAACATGCAGGGAATGCAATTGTTGGAGGAAAATGAACGATTGAAGCTGCAAGTATAGTTTTTCCTCCTACTCTTTTATGCTTCTATACTTGTTAGTAGCTACAACCATTCATCACTGAAGATGTTGCAGATTTCTAATGGCCAACCACAAGTCGCTGGTGATTCAGAGAATATGTTTTGTGAGGAAGGTCAGTCATCGGAGTCTGTGACCAACGTTTGCACCTCTAAGGGTACTCCACACGACCATGAAAGCTCCGATACATCCTTGAAGCTAGGGTAAGTAGCATTGCACCGGCACACATGCACGAACAAATACTATATTTACTGTTAAAGCAATGGCCAAATCCATTATTTATTTTCTTTTTCAAAACAGTTTGCGTTGATCTTTTGCAGGCTACCATATTCGGGTTAATTAGAAAGGCTTGAGGAGATCAACTTACTCTTAATGAAGTGCAAACCTAACCCCTCCACGTTTGTAGGTACAATAGCTTTATGTGTGACTTTGAGAGATCAAAATTGGAAATTTGATACAGGACCTAAGCACACAATCTTCTCAGTTGCCTGAATATTAAAGCAACTCATGCAATATCTTAGCTTTACCAAGGCACTCGTTTAGTTCGTCTGATAAGCCTCTATGTATAGTACCGTGGCATTGACACTTGATAACTAAAGGGAAGATATATTTATGAATGTAATGTATATGTATGGATGATTACTTTTATGTTTTAAAAATGTTAGAACTAATATATGCTTGGATGGTTTTGGCTATTTTGATTCATTTTTATAGGTATACTAGCTTTTATCCGGACAATGTATGCGATTTTAAATTAAATTTTGCATAATTTTAAATTTATTTTTTAATTATTTATCTAATATATAATCATATATTTATAAATGCTAAATTATAATTAAGTGATAGTTTATATAAAATATATTATAAATAATATTGTTCATCTAAAAAAAGATTAAATTTTTAATTTTTGTAAATTTTCAAAAATTATAAAAACTTTTTTTCATTAAAAAATATTTTCTTCCATTTATTTGTTAAATATTAAAAATTTGTTATCATTTTTTTCTGATTTGATAAAAATAAGAATTAATATTTAAATAGTTAAAATTAATAATCGTTTATACCATAATGTTGATTAGGTGGGATATATATATATATATATAACAGTAAATCATAATTATTAATTTTGTTATAATCATTTGCTTTTTATTAGATTTTATTTTTGACATACTTCAAGCAGTTATTATACAAAAAATATTTTCGTATATGTGAACAAAATAAAGTCATTTTTTAGATAAAAAGGAAACAATAAATTTTTATGTTATGCTTAAAAAAAATTAAAATATTTTTTTTATTTTTAATCATTTTTAATATAATTGATAATATTTTTTGAGTTAGATGTAGTTATGATCATCATTCTTTTTAAATCATTTATTGTATTGTAGACAAAAAAATTCAATAATAAAAAATATAACAAAAAGAAATAGAGAATTAAATTTATATATTAATTTGTCATGATTAAATATATATAATAATAAAAGTAAATATGTTAATAAATTAACAGATAATAAAAATATTGAAGAAACGAATAAAACAACAAAATATATAATACAAAAAGTTAATTATAATTAATCTAAGCAAAATTTAAAAAAAAGTTATAAACTAAAAAAAACAAATAAATTAATCAAATATATAATATAAATATATTTGAATTAAAACATAAATAAAATATTATATTTGTTTTCAAAGGAAAACATATTTTTATCTAATTTTTTTTATCAATTTTCAAATGTCTCATATTTCATATAAAGATGTAAACTTTAATTACTTTAAAAATACATGCTTTCTAGTCAATAATTCATTAACTTATCTAAAAGTATTAAATTTAAATAATTTATTAAATAATTTTTAATTTTGATATATTTTGATTTGAATTTAAATAATTATCTAAAAATATTAAATTTAAATAATTTATTAAATATAATTATTTGACAAAAAATAAAATTTTATTAAAAATATATATTTTGTTATTAATTTTTTAAAAAAAAGATTTGATGATTTTATTTTGAATTCAATATATTCAAAAATATTTTTGATATATTTCAAAATAATTAAAATATTTAATTTAAATAAATTAAAAAATTTTATTTCAAATAAATATTATTATGGTTAATTCAAAATTAACTAGATATTACATAAATAATTTTGATCATGTAATTTTATTGTTTGTAAATAAATATATTCATATATTATTATTACAAAAGAAAGTTAAATATGAGTTTGTTTATTTTTCAAGAATTAAATTATAATTAATAAAAAGTAAATAATTAATAATATTGCTTGCACAATAATAAAAGAATTAATGAGATTATTTTATTTTGGAGCTTTGTTGTGGAGTTTGACTATATGATATTCACACTGAAAAAACTATTATTATTTTTTATTTTCAATTTTTTTTATAGCAAAGATCGTATATGAATAAAAATTTATTAGATAATGTTAAAAGAGAATAATTTATTTGTTATGTGAAATTAGAGTTGAATTTTTTTTACATTTGTTTTCGGCAATTTTTTTGGAAATTATTAATTTTTAATGTATTATTTTTGCTTTTTTATTCTATTTTTAATATCAAAAATCAAATTGCAAAAGAAAATCTCTATTAATGCAAAAATTAAAATCCAAAAAAAAAAGTATCTTTTAATACCAAAATCAAATTTCAAAAAAGAAAAAAGAAAAAAGTTTAGATCGAATTTATCAAAAAAAATTAAATTCAAAATAAAAATTTCTTATTTGTTTTATCTATTATTTTTTAAAACATTATCAGATTTATCTTTTTTTTAATTTTATTTTCAAAAATATTAAAAAAATACTTTAAAGAATATATATTCTTAACATTTTTTGCATGCCACCGTTATACACAACATCGACCGATTTGTAACGTAATTGTCTGTTGCATAGAGACAATTCTTACAGCGACGAATTCAATATTTTTTTTAGAATGTTACTTATAATATATATCTTAAAAGTTATCAATAAATTTATTAATTTTATTAACGGAAAGAATATTAAAAAAAAAAATTTATTTTTCAATCTTTGAGATGTTCATAAATACTCTAAATGCTTGTAGTCTATATATACCTAACTTAACTTGATTTGCGCTTCATTTGAATGACTGATATTAAAAATTTTTACTACATCGTGTTGTTTCAAGACTGAATTTTTTTTCACTGATCATTTAAATAAAGGAGGCCGATTTCTCTGGAATCCCTAATAATTAATTGTTTAGACTTAACAAGACTTCCCCGTCTATGGGGCTAAATTCGTGTTACTCACAAGGAAACGAAACACGTAATATACTCTAAGAAGGAAAACCAATGGGTTTGGGTTTGCTTGTTCCCAACTCGAATCCATTATAGTTCTGACTTTTTGACTCAGAAAACTCATTTGGATCGAACTACATTCCGACCAAATGGTTTAAATTTACTAATCGCTGTTAAACTGACTTTGCTGTTATCAGATCATAATAAAACACAAAGTCGTTAAATTTTCCATCATATGCCGTTCTTATATTACAGCAGATAATTCCAAAGGAACACATTCTCTATGTTGACTGGATGTCAACAAATTTACCTTGGTTTTTATTCGAAGCATTATCATAATGTCTCTGATCATGTTTTTATGATCTTAATTTTTACACAATAATAATAATAATAATAATAATAATAATAATAATAATCTTGGTCGTCTTAAGGCTAAAAGTACATTTAAGGTCATTTTGTGTTTGGATCAAGGGAAAAAAATCCTTGTTAAATGCTTAAAGCACAATGTTACAAGTCCTAGATTTGATTATTCATGTATTTATTATATATTTATTTTGTGTTAAACACATTTAAAATACAAAATATATTATATTATATCATAATTCGTGTCAATAATCAAATACAAGACTTTTTTTTTTTTTCCACTCATAATTTTTATATAAATTTTAAACTATTTTACTTTTATATCTTTTTTATTATTATTATATTTAAAATTATCAGATTTAATTTACAATATTACTCTGGTACAAAACCCAACAATACTTGGGCTTGCCAAATCTAGTGCTCAAACAGGCTTGACAACAAACAAGGCCACTGAAGCAAGCTCAGGCTGAAGTGCTGAACCATACCAAAATTTCGACCCAGCTCCTATGTTGATTCCCATTTTGATTTAGAGAGGAAGAGTTGACAAGGAATTTACGAAATTAGAGGTCCAAGAATTCCAAACCACCAGGCTTACCAACAATTTGGTACTTGATCTTGCATCTACGCGATTATATTGAAGGAGAAAGGCTGATCGTGGAACATTTTAGCCAAAAGCAATAATGAAAACAAACAATGAAGTGATACATGCACAAGGTTCTGATAAATACTGAACATAAAGTTACAAATCTTGACTCCAAGTTACTCCCTTTTCGATTTGGAAAGAGCTCTCTTCCTCTGCCCAAGCATATAACTGTACATGTGAGGACTACCTGCAACAAATTATACCATTCAGTGAAGTGGCGGCCAATTGTTGTCAACAAGCCAACTAATCAAGCTGGGAAAATATGTTAAAAAGAGGAATGCTTAGTTCATACCTGGGACATAGATTCCAAGGGCAAGAATTGCACCATAGAAGTAATCAAAAGAGAAATTCCACTTGTTTGGCATTCTTATGCAATGCTTCTCAGAAGCCTGCAGATGCACTAGTTTATTCAATGAATATATAACAAGCATATGCTTTTACCACTTTTATTGGAATGAAATGCTAAGGAGGTTGGGAGGGGGATAAAAACATTTTGGACGAGTTAAAAAAAATAATAATAAACAGTAGCTAGCATCAGAATGCCCATCCTTCTGTTTTACCAACCTTCTAAGAAAAAAAAAAAAAAAGTTGGGGCGAGGGGAGTTTAAGAAAATAGTGGTTGTATCAGAACATCCATCCTTTGCTCTTCAAAACTTTTTCACTTTCCTATTTATGTAGAGGTTAAATTCAGCATATAAACAGATTCAATTTGTATAAAGATAATTGCTATGTTTAATCATATTAAACAATAGTTTGTAACACTGGAACATGTGTCTATTCTACACACGCAAAAATTTATTTCTGTCCATGGAGAATCAACCATTCTAAGTGTATTTGCACTCCTTAGAAAGTAAAACAAGACCTGAACAGTAACAAAAAAATATTTGGTAACCTTTGACAGAGAAACTCCGTTTTAATTTAATATATCATAAATTTAGCTGGATCATAGGGCTGGTGAAGTGGTGTAGAACACATAAGCAGACTTCCAGTGTGATAATCATTGATACATTACCTTAATATATGGTAGGGCAAAATATATCAGACCAACTTCACTGCTGATGCCAGTTGGATACAAAACTAAAAAGGTGCTATACCTGCATGGAAAAATTGAGTATTAGCAGAATGACCACAAAGGATTCAACCACTTTGTTTCCAGTTAACGAGAACAAAACACATGTATTATATACCTAAGCCACAAATGCCATGAAGGTGCAAAACCAAAGGCCTCCTTCATGCCAAAGAAAGAGTAGCGAATAATCTGTAATTACAGAAAATTTATGAAAAAATCAGGATGATATCAACGTCCATAAAAGAAATGACCTTCGCAGGTGGTACTCTTGGAGAACAATATTACTAGGATTTTTCATCATTCATGTCAGAAAATGATGGCATGATCAGAAAAATAAAACAATAAAGACAAGCATCAATACCTGGTTCTAAACACAATATAGACATAAATGCAAATGCTTAAGAATCAAATGATATAAATTCCTCGCTTCAGCAAATGTAAAATCATGAATTTGGAAAACAAGTTGCCAATCCCTGTTAGAAATAGCAGTCTCAAGTTATCAACTTAACCAAACAATATGCTCCAAACATTGAAAAAAAAAGAGATTACAAGTGGGAAAGCCATTTCTATATTACACTTTGAGCAATACCAATAAGACCTCAAATCCAACAAACACATCGATCAACTAATGCAGAGTAATATTTTCATTCAGTTTCAACTCGCGATCGTACCAATTACAGCTGCTAATTTTAACTACAAATTTGAAAAAATAAAGGGAAAAGCAGAATTCAATTAATTTTACCTCTGTAATGGACCAACTGATGACCAACGAGGTAACAAGAATGTGGGTCCGAATCTGCCAATCACGACCATCATTTTAATTTTAACTAAAAATTAAGATAAAAGAAAAAAAAGGAAAGATTTTATTGTTACCTCAGGAAAACTCCATAAAATTCCCCAAGTTAAATACACTCTTGATCCCATCTGTGGCAGACTTGATGATACTGGCGACCTAACCAAACCTTCAAAAATTAACAAAGACAAAATTCAAATTTCATTTTTAAATGAAAATCAAATTACATCAAGAATTATTATAAATTAAATGAAGAAGAAGAAGAAAAGAGCGCTCGCCTATTACACCGTGAAGAATCTGTTAAGTAAAAAAATTAATTAATTAATTAATTATATTTAATAAAGTTGGAAAAAATTTAGTGAAAATAAACAGTGGACTGAAAAAAGAACCTCCAAAATGGCGGCGGATTGAGCAAGAAGGAGAGGCTTTTCAACGGCATTGTAGACATGTTCATGACCTGATTCTTTCAACGTCTTCAAAGCCAAAAATAGAACCTGAAACCTGAAAAACAAAACTAAAAAATTTCAAAATTTGAAGTTGAAAATTGGAAGATCAAAAAAAAAAAAAAAAGGAGATCTGAGGTGAACATGCTTGCCAGCCAATGAAGACAGTCCAATTGTAGATAGAAAGGTAGTGGCGGCTAAGAACGGTAAAAGAGGAAGGCATGAAAAAAAAAAAAAAAAAGATTTGATTTGTTGGAAAAGGCTTGCAAGAGAGTAGAGCAATTATATAGGAATGGCGAGGAAGGAAACTGAAAGAACAAAAACCTAGAGGAGAGAAAACGGAGAAGAAATGGGTTATCGTCAAATGATGCAACTTTGTGAAAATATTTTGCGATTATCCTTACGACAAATAATAATTATTAAGAAGGAACTGAAATTGTTGAAAATGTTTACAACAAAATGAAGATGACCATTTGAGCCCTAGTTTTAGCATTGTGTAGATCGAGGGAAGAGAGAGGGAGGAAAACATGGAATGGAAGCAAAAAAAAACCATACAATTCATCTAGAACTTAGAAAATACCGTTATGGCATGCAAAATTTATAAAAGAAAAGGCCAAATTATGTTAGTGATTTTTGTACTCTATGAAATTTTGGAATTTATTTACTCTCTTTTAATTCATAAAAATTTCATCTCTTTTATTATTTTATTTAAAAACTTCAATCCTATTATAAAATACTATCAATTTATCATCGTTAAAATTGATGACGTAGATTTTTACTCGTTGACATGTATGTTGATCAAGCTTACATGGTTGGGTTAAAGGGTTTATAATGCTAACATGTAAAAAATAATGCAATGTGGCAAAAAAATCCAGCTCAGATTTTTTCATAATTTCTCTTAACAAAAAAAAAAAAAACTTTTCTTTTAACAAAAACCCCAAACAATCGTAAATCACAATTTGACAAAAAACAAATCTCTAACCCCATTTCCTAACCGATTGAAATTCCAAATCCCTAACCCTATAACACCATTGAAACTTGAGCTGAAACCTTAAAAGTTGTTAATTGTAAACGAGAAAAGTTTCATGAGCGAGAGGTAGTTTGAATGAATATCGTCTTTTATATTTAGGATTGGGTTTAGCTCATCTGAAACATCTATAAAGGTTAGATGATTTTATTTGTTTAATATGGCTTTAGGGTATTTGGTTTAACTTGTTTTGGATTGGGATTGGATTTGGAAAGTAATTATTTTTTTGTTATGGATATGTTTAGATAATTAATTAAAATGAGTGAAATATGTGACAAGTCCAAGAATAGTAAATTTATTTTTTAGTATTGAGTTATTTTATTGAAATTTAATATTGAATTTTCTTTTGAAAATTTTCATAACTTGAAGAATAAAAAAACCTAAATGGCAAAAAAAAAATACTTTAGTATGTTTGATGTTTAGATTGAATGTTAAATTAAAGTGACTTGAATTTAACTTGTGTTATAGTAACTTATGATTATAAAAGTCGCATAGTGTACTGTTATTACGGATTGAAGGTCCTATAGTCACCTCGAAAAGTGATGATAATCCTAGAAGGCATTTCTTTGGCTATAGCAACTATCAAATAAATAAATATGTTTTTTTGCATATTAAAATTGTTGTAAAGTTGGTTGTGATGTTTAAAGCCTTTTAGTTATAAAATTATGCTTGGTATGATAATATAATGTATGAATTAAAAGGTTAACATATGTTGGGAAACCGTGTCAATTTTTTGCTTGGCATAATAGACTAATTGAGGATGAACATCTGAATTTGTGGATTATTAATATAAGGAATACCAACAAAGCTTTGAAAAGGGAGAATTCAATATTAAATGATGAGAATAGAGCATTGAAAAGAATTAATGCTGAGTTAAATAGTAAAAATACTTGTAAAAAATAGATATTAACACTGATAAGTTACTTGATAAAGTTGCTATGTTCAAAGCTGAGAATAAGCTATTATAAGAGAGATTGAGGAATGTTAAGTTAGATGCAAGAATGAAAGCAAAAGGAAAAAATATGTATAAAATGGCTTTGATGTTTTCATTGTTAATGTTATTGTATTTTGCATTTAGATTTGGTAAGGATGATATGATTAGGAATGATGTATTAGCTCTACCATGACTAAGTATAGATGAATGATGTAGTGGCTCTGACATGATTAATTATGTAGGAATGATGTAATATTTAATGCTATCATCCACTTTGTTAATATTGTATGAATGAATGATTAATTAATTATGTATGAATGATGTATTGGCTCTACAATGATTATTTAATGTTATCACTTTCTTTCTTTCATTCAAATGTATATTCGTGGTGCAAATTTTTGTTGCATTTTATTTGTGGCTTTATTTCAATTAGAAATAAAAATTCTTTGTTATGGTTCAGATTTGAGGTTGCATCCTAATGTTTTAACACTAATTTGAATGAACTTGATAATGTGAAACAAAGTTAGATGATATCTGTTAGCATCAAAGTATATGATATCTTAGAATTGATCCCTTTAAGTCATGATGCTCATACTTTGTTTTTTAAGCTAAAAGATTGATCTTCTCAAGTCAGGATACTCATCTCTTATTTTTCATACTAGAGGATTGATCATCTAAAGTTAAAAAATTTTTAAAAGTTCAAAATATTTTTGTATTAGAAAGATTAAATTTCAAATTTCATGAATATGGAGACTAAATTTTGAGTTTCATAAAAGTATAGAGATCATTTATATAATTTAATAATTGATTTCATCAATTCTAATTGACAAATCAGCAATTTAACGTCACATCAATAAAACAAACAGTCACGTCAACATTTTTAACAACAAAAAATTGATGAAATTAATAATTGAACTAAAATTATCAAATCAAAATAATATGAAAATCAAATTTCTATGAATTATAGTATAGTGATTAAATTTCAAAATTTTGTAAAGTATAAAGACTTTTGGCATAATTTAACAAAAAAAATAAAGGGTAAAATAATATTTGCAATTTCTTAAATATTAAATAGTAATTAAAAAACATTTGATTTCTTTCTTAATAATTCTATCTGCGTGGTACCAAATTCAAAATAGTTTTACTCTATTGCCCAATTTTGAAAATCCCTCGATCATCATCTCTTCAATGAAAATGTAGTTGGAAGATTGGTAAGTTGCTCAACTGCCATCTTTTTATCCATTTCCAAATTTGTTCCTATAAAATATTTAAACTAATTAATGGTGACATTTAATGAATGATTAGTTGTTTTTTCTTTTCTTTTCTTTTTTAACAAAAAAGTACATATGATTTTATAGATAGTTTTCATTGAAAGAAAAATAAACAATGATAAAAAGAGGTAATATTATTGTTATATAAGGAGTAGCAAAAAAAAAAAAAGAAGATAATCTTGATTAAATACATAAATAAATTATTAAAATAAAATATTGAGCTCTTAAGTTTAAGATCCATTATGTGAATGGTTTGATTGTTTAATTATATTATAATTTGTTAACTAATTATTCAGTAATTATAATTTAATTATGATATAATTATTAATTATTCAATTAATTATAAGTGTAATTTAAAAAATATATACTATATAACACTAATTCAAATATTATTTGTTGAATATAGAAATTAAAAATTACATAATTATTATCCATGAAACAATATTTTATATAATTTCATAATTCTTAAAAAATATTAATTTACCTTTTTAATTACTTTCATTTACTATAGAATTTTTTTTACATTGCAAAAAGAAAAAGAAAAGAGTGCCTTAGCCATACGGTTTAAAAGTAGCTCGCTGCAAGGTCCTATTTGTAATTAACTATATCATGGGCCTGGCTCACCCCACTAAATTTAGAGTTCAAGGTTCATAATCGTGGGCTTTGAAGTATCTTATTGCAATGAGATTTTTAGTTTTTATTGTTTACTCGAAATACATAGTGTAATATTTTGTTTTTATAGCCCTAATTAATGAGCTGAAAGAATGGTGATTTAAGTGCAAAATAGTTGACGACTCGTTTTGATAACCTCTATTTAGATTTAAGTATATTTTTTAGGATATTCCAACTTTGTGGATAGCAGTTGTTTGGGGAAAAAAATTTATCAAATTTGATAGAATATTTGAGTACAAAATTTCTTCTTTCCTTGCTTTTAAAATACAGGTCATTTGGTTTGTAAATTTTAAGATTTTTTTAAAATTTAATTTTCATAATGTGATTGACATGTTTGATTCACGAAATATAATTCTCTAAGAATTTTCATGATTATCAATAATGTTAAAAAGAAAGAAAATAGCTCAAAATAATTAAAAAAAAACCTTCTTTTCTTTGAATTTTTTAAGATTTTTGGTAGAATATAAAATTTGTCCAATTGTTGCCCTTAATAATTGATATTTAGTGGCTATTATATAATTCAATATCATAGAAATTGTATCATAAATAAAGGCTCAATTTGAGAGTGCAAAAGTATTAAAATCTCAACATTTGACACCTAACATTATGCATAGGAAATATCATTTTATACAAAATAAAAACTAATTCAATTATTTTAGTTTATTTTTAATTAAGTCTTTTTATTATTAATTTGATTTTAATTAATAAAAATATAATAATAAAAATTATTAACATATGTATATTATGTCAATAATATTCTAATTATTTGAAAAAAACAAATATTTGCAATAAAATATTTATTTTCAATTTATAAATTTTTTTTGATTTAATAGACAACATTTGTCATTCAATTACAAAATAAATTATGTTTAAGAAAGTGATGTCATTTATTATCATAATAAATGATGTTTACATCATATAAATGTCATTTATTATCATACATATTTGTAGAGTCTGTGGTTTTGAATGTCAAAGAAAAGAAAGTATTGACTTTAAATTAAAGTTGTATAGGCCAACCAATTGATAGTTGACTTAAGTGGCAAAATGAGTGTACTCTTATATTTGTTATATGAGTTTAAATTTACTGAGAGGCTATTAGAAAATAATTTTTATGAATTTGCTAAACTGATGTAAATATACTTGTTTGGACCAATTTGAAGAAGAGATATACTTAGCAAAACTTAAAAACCTCTTGCTACTAAATAAAAAAAAGGTATGTATAAGTGGAACTAGAGAACTTTTTTAGACCATATGAATTATGGTATAAAAATATTAAAAAAAAAAAAACTTGAAAGCAAACAAAGCATAACTCACATGAATTTTTGTAATCACAATATTTTTCTTGACAAAAAATTGTGTGGTGAAAGATCTGCAACCCAACAATAAAGTCAAAAAAGAAAAGTCATTAAAATATATATGATGGTTGTTACAAATAACTAGTGCATAAAGCCCAGTTTTGCACAGCTTGTTATAATATTTTTTAGTATTCTATTGACTTAAAAACTTATTAATGGTAAGTGGAAATTTAAAAAATATAATGGAGGTCTTTAATTGAAAATTTGAATTTATCAAATCATTTTTTAATAACATAAAGGAAAGATCTAACAACATAAAGATCTCACCATAGAGGATCAAGGTTGCATTAAGAATATAATGGATATTTAACGCTAAGTTCAACTATTGGAATCGCAAAATTCGAACTCCTAACATCACCTTCCTTTTTACTTTCATATTCTTCAAACCAAAACTTTCCATCAACAAAATCCTCTACATCATTTTTCTTTATTGATTTTTTGCAGTCTCTATTTCTATAAAGCATTCTTCGTTTAGATCAAGTGAGAATAAATCCATGTGACACTTTTTTTGCATTTTTTTGATCCAAAACCATGTTTCATTTTTCTTGCTTTTCTTGTCATTCATTTGGTTCTCTGTCCATAACAAAGTTTTTTATCTAATCAAATCCATCATCTGAACCAATTTGACCATTATTTTTCTATTTTTCATCATATTCAACATTTTTCTAAACGATGAAATACAAAAAACCTACAATTTTATGATCATTCAAAAGAAAATAATTTCTTCTATATAACCAAGCTCTAGATTTATCATAAGTAGGAATGAAGGCCTGTAGAAAAACATTCAAGTCATTAAAATATAAGTATTATGAAATTGTTCTTTTAATAATTTTCAATTTTTTTATTGTAATTTCATTGTCAATCAACTTGTAGTGAGATGTTTCTTCTCATCTTTGCATCCCTTACTATGAAGTCAACACAAACTTTTAGCCCTAAAATTTGTAGCACAAATCATTTGACAAAAGGAAAA